TCATACAGCCACTATGGAAATCAGAATGGAGATTTCTCAGGAAAATAGGAATCAGTCTACCACAAGACCCAGTAATTCCACTCTTAGGCATATACCCAAAAGATGCACATTCATACAACAAGGACATCTGTTCCACTATGTTTATAGTAGTACTATTTGTAATAGCCAGAACCTGGAAGCAACCTAGATGCCCCTCAACTGAAGAGTAGATAGAGAAAATGTGGTACATTTACACAATGGAGTACTACTCGGCAGAAAAAGCAAATGGAATCTTGAAATTTGCAGGTAAATGGATGGCACTAGAGGAAACCATATTGAGTGAGGTAACCCAGTCACAAAAAGACAAACATGATATGTTGTCTCTCATATATGGATGTCAGACATGACAGACATGAAGCAGGGGAGTGCCAGTCTACAATTACACTGCCATAGAGTCAGGGAAACAGGAAGGACCCTAAGAGTGATATGCGTGGTACTCCAGAGCTCCAGAGAAGGTGTAATGAGGCAAGATCTCCTGAGCAGATTGGGAGCATGGGGGCAGGGGAGAGGCAGGAAAAAAAAAGTGGGGGAGAAGAGGAGGGGAGAGGAGGACATGGGGGAACAGGAAGTTTGAGTTGGGGGAAGAATAGAGGAGAGCAGGATGAGAGATACCATAATAGAGGGAGTCATTCTAAGTTTTGGGGGAGATCTGGCACTAGTTCTCCAGAGATCTACAAGGGTGACACCAACTGGTAATCTAAGCAGTAGTGGAGAGGCTACTTTAAATGCCCCTCCCTGATAATGATTTTGATGACTTGTTAAGAGAAGCTTTTTTCCTTGAGAGAAGCCTTCCTGCCAGCCTGGTTCTAGAGCTGCATCAGTCCCAAATAAACACACAGGAGGCTATATTAGTTATGAAGCTATTGGCCTTGCTTGGTTCTTACTGGCTAGCTCTGACTTAAGTAATTACCCCATAATTGTTAATCTAAGTATTTCTCTTACTGGAGAATAGTTCCGGGCTTCCTACCCCATGGCGTTACATCTCGACTCTCTGTGTTTCTCCTTCCCAGGGTCCTCCTGGACTTCTAGTCCCACCTATCTAGATTCCTATTGGCCAGCAGTGCTTTATTGACACATACACAGGACTTCCCCAACAATGACTACCTTGTATACCATCGTAGAACCTCCATCCAGTGACAGACAGAAGCAGAGGCAGACATGCACACAGAAACACTGAACTGAACTCCTGGAAGCCAGTGACAGAGAGGGAGGAGTGAATAGCAAAGGGGTCAAGACTGGGCTGGTGAAACCCAGAGAAACAGCTGACCTGAACAAGGGGGAGATCTTGCACATCAGACTGGTGGCTGAGAGGCCAGCATGGGGCTGATTCAGACCACCTGAGTGTGGGTGTCAGCGAGGAGACGTAGGCAATCTATGGCTTTTTGGGTAGTAGATCAGTGTTTATCCCTGGTACACAAATGGACTTTGGGTCCCCATCCCACATTGAGGGTTGCTTTCTCAATCTGGACATTTGGGGGGAGGCCTGGGCCCTCCCAAGTATGAAATGACAGACTCTAGATATCCCTCATGGGGGCCTTACCCTCCTTGGGGAACAGAGTGGTGATTGGGTTGGGGGCTGGGGAGACGTGGGGGGAGTGGGCGTGGAGGGGAAAGGATCAGGGACTGAATTAGGAAGCAAGCTTGTTTCTAATTTAAATATATAATAAAAAGTGCTTAAAAAAAGAAGTACGTGTACCAGGACAACTTATTTTTTTTATACCTGAGATATTTTTTATTAATTAATTAATTAATTAATTTTTTCCCAGTTTAAATTTAGATAAGAAACAAGATTGCTTCACAAGTCAGTTCCAGATCCCTCTCCCTTTCCCTCTCCTCCTCCCGTGCCCTACCCCCAACCCCCCCCACCCGTTATTCCCTCATTCCCCCAGGGAGGGTGAGCCCCTCCATGGGCCTAGACCCTTCCCCCAGAGTTCAGCGTGAGAGTGCACCTCACATTGTTCTATGGGAGTCCAAAATCCGTGTGTATACTTGGGATGGGTACTGATCTGCTGCCCAAGGCTCAATAGATTACCTAGGCCTCCTCACTGACACCCAGATTCAGGCGGTCTTGATCAGTCCCATGCTGGATTCCCAGGCTGATGCCTGGGATCCAAGAGTTAACCTTTGTCTGGTCAGCTGTTTCAGGGGGGTTAAACCAGCCCAGTCTTAATCCCTTTGATCATCAGTCCTCCCTCTCTGTTACTGGCTTTCTTGAGTTCAGCTCAGTACTTAACCAAGGGAGTCTGCCTATTCGTCGATCAGCCGCTAAATGAAGTTTCTGTTTCCCAGACTCTCTGGCCATAGGATTGTAGGCTGGCACTCCCCAGATCTATGTCTAAAATCCATATATGAGAGAGTACATGCCATGTTTCTCTTTTTGTGACTGGGTTACCTCACTCAGGATGGTTTCTTCTACTGTCATCCATTTGCCTGCGAATCTCATGATTCCATAACTTTTTTCTGCTGAATAGTACTCCATTGTGAAGATGTACCACATTTTCTCTATCCACTCTTCAGTTGAGGGACATCTAGGTTGCTTCCAAGTTGTGGCTATTACAAATAAAGCTGCTATGAACATAGTGGAACAGATATCTTTGTTGTATGAATGGGCATCTTTTGGATATATGCCTAAGAGTGGAGTTGCTGGGTCTTGTGGTAGGTTTGTTCCCATTTTTCTGAGGAATTTCCAAAGTGGCTGAACCAGTTGGCACTCCCAACAGCAATGGAGGAGTGTCCCTCTTTCACCACATCCTCTTCAGCATAAATTGTCATAGGTGTTTTTGATTTTAGCCATTCTGACAGGAGTGAGATGGTATCTCAGAGTTGTTTTGATTTGCATTTCCAGGATGGCCAAGGATGTTGAGCACTTTCTCAAGTGCCTCTCAGCCATTTTAGACTCCTCTATTGAAAACTCTCTATTTAGTTCTGCAGCCCACTTTTTAATTGGGCCCTTTGGTGTTTTGGAGACTTGCTTCTTGAGTTCTTTGTAAATTTTGGAGATCAACCCTCTGTCAGATGTGGGATTAGTGAATATTTTTTCCCATTCTGTGGGCTGCCTTTTTGTCTTGCTGACTGTGTCCTTTTCCTTACAGAAGCTTCTCAGTTTCAGTAGGTCCCATTTATTAATTGTTGATCTCACTGTCTGTGCTACTGGTGTTATGTTCAGGAAGCTGTCTCCTGTACCAATTCGTTCAAGGGTACCACCCACTTTCTCTTCTAAGAGGTTCAGTGTGGCTGGATTTATGTTGAGGTCTTTGATCCATTTGGACTTAAGTTTTGTACATGGTGATAAACATGGATCGATCTTCATTCTTCTACATGCCAGCCTCCAGTTATGCCAGCACCAGGACAACTTATAAGGGGCAGAAATGAATTTCTTTATATTTGTAAGCTTTTTGAGGTCATGATGAGGACATCTACATGTATGATGTCTAGCCAAAATTCACTTCTTATAGACTAGTTGCTAGGTAGTTTCATATTGCCTAATGCTCCCTCATGTATTATACTAATTGTCCTAATTTCACTTTTACTGTGTAAGTACTCTTCCTACAGGACTTCATTGGATCATTAAGGGCAATCATCCATATTTTCATTCTGTTTATTTTCTTAGTTACTTTTATATTGCTGTGAAAAGTACCACAACCAAGACTATTGATATACAACAGAAGAGTTTATTGGGGACTGACCATGATAGTAGGGACCATGATAATAGGCAAGAAGGCATGACACCAGAGCAGCAGCAGAGAACTTACATTTTTAACAATAAGAGGCAAGGAAAGCTACCTGGGAAACACATAGGTTTACAACATCAAGCTGACCCATACTCATGCAACACCTTCAATAAGCCCACGCTTTATCCTTCTCAAAAAGTTCTACCAACTGGGGACCAAGCTTTCAAATTCATTATCCTATTAGAATCATTATATGAAAGACACAACAGTTATTAATTGGAAACACATAAATATTAGGAACATATCAGACCTCAGTAGTGTTTTTGAGAGATCTACAAATAGATACCAACAAAAGATAGGACACTTAATTCATGATTGGAGGAACTTAGAAAATTTTCTGTATTAGTAACTAGTTTATGTCAAAACTAATGTAAAAATCTTCCCATTAAGCACAGACTAGACAAAATGTAGACCCTGTGTCATCACATTCACTAAGCAAACAAAAAATAGCAATAGAAACAATACTGAATTCAACAGTGTGTGTGTGTGTGTGTGTGTGTGTGTGTGTGTTGGTGCTTGCACATGCACATGTGTACTTTTTTTGTAAATTGTTAAAGTAATAATCATCTGGTAACTCTCCTGAAGATCTTAGGAATATTTAGTATGAACAAACAAAATCTAGAATATAACCACAGACTTCTAGCGATCTTTTCAAGAAAAAAAATAGAAAAAGAAATTATTGAAAATGCATGTAATTCAGAAAATAAAAACAATATAATGTCACCAACCATATAGAACTACTTGAAAACTAAATAAATAACAATCTAATTAAATATGAAAGTTCTGTAAGACAGAAAATCAGCAAATTTGAAGCTATACCGTGTTGAAAGATATGATGCTTACGTGGCAGTAATTTTACATTTAAACATAAAATGAAAACAAGATTAGGCAGACAAATATCCAAATACATAAAAAACCAAAAATATCTCTAAACCAAACAACCAAATACATGTTACAGAAATATAGCTAAACCAGGTCTCCCATTCCAATAATATTACTTCAGTGGAAATACTAAAGACATATTGAATCAAAAGTTAGAAATATTGGGAGGAAAGTGATATTTAAAGGAGTTATATAATTATTTAAGAACTATTTTATGTGACTACAAGGGATATATTACAATTTTCTACATATTATCATGAGTTTTTCTTCCTTGAGAATCAAAAGGAATATACTAATTTTGACTTACACTTCCTTTTCATATTTTATTAAAGTATCCCATACTAAATATTAAATACTAAGTTTACATCGATTCTTAAAGACGTTTAGAAAGGCACTTTTTACTTCCTTGTTTCTAAAGCTGTAAATCAAGGGGTTAAGCATAGGAATCACTAATGTATAAAACACAGAGGCTATTTTATCAGTTTCAAATGAGTGGGTGGATTTTGGCTGTAAGTACATGAAAAGTAGAGTTCCATAAAATACTACTACCACTGTCAGATGAGAACCACAAGTTGAGAATGCCTTTTTCCTACCCTCTGCAGAATGCATTCTGTATATGGCTAGTAGAATCAGAAGATAAGATACTAAGACTACGAAGAGAGACGAGATCAAATTAAGTGCTGAAAATAATATGATCAGTAACTCTATATCCCGTGCATTTGAACACAGTAAAAGTAACATGGGGACATTGTCACAGTAGAAATGGCTAATGACATTAGAACCACAGAAAGCTAATGTAAAAATCTTACTAGTTATCATTACAGACTGGAAAATACTGTAGAGATATGGAATGCTAACAAGTACATGACAACGTCTTTGAGTCATGATCATACTGTAACGCAAAGGGTTACAGATGGCCACAAAGCGATCATAGGCCATTGAAGACAAGATGAAAAGTTCACTGATAATAAAAGTGATGTAGAATGCCATCTGTGTGGCACAAGCATAGTAAGAAATGACATTTTGATCCACTACAAAATTTACCATCATCTTTGGGTAAATGACAGTACAATTGCCAAGATCAATGAAAGCCAGGTGTCTGATAAAATAATACATAGGTGTATGAAGGCGAGAATCCAGCTTGGTCAAAATGATCATGCTTAGGTTGCCTATTATGGCGACTCCATAGATAACTAGGAACACCCCTAAAAGTGGAAGCTGCAGCTCAGCTCTGTGTGTAATTCGTGTCAGAATGAATTCAGCTGGTACTGTTGAGTTTCCCAGGCTCATGTCAGCCTTCTGTAAAGATACACAAGTACCATCAACTTTTAAATAGTATCATTCAAGCAATTTCAAAGACAAGATAAAACATGGGGAGATACTTTCTCAGCAGGTAGGGCTTTATTCCTGCCCCAAATGGTGTGATGGACTTTGATTATCTCCACAGGAGGTCTTACCCTCTCTGAGGATTGGATGGAGGGTGGGAAAGGGAGATAATGGGGGTAATGGGAGGATAAGAGAGAAAGGGAACTGGAATTGGCATGTAAAATAATATTGCTTCATTTAAATAAAAGCTTAATTTAAAAATGTTACATTTAACGCCTCATACAAAAATGACTTTTAATATCTGATTCTAAATGTTAAATAAAGAAGGGAAATTCTACGTTCTAAAAAAGGAGGCTCTTATGGGATACACTCAAAGATATCGTTTAAATTCTTACTAAAGTTACTCAAAGACAAGATAAAATTTGCATTCTAATGGTTAAGAGAAAACTGTCATTATTTGCATGGCTATTGGAAATGCAATCAATAAATTCTTGTACAAAAATATTGGATATATTTCATTTATACTAGAGGATCATACTTTTTCTCAATAAATTTTCTTATATGTATGATAATTCTCATGGAATTTAGTTGAGATTAAATGAGTGGAAACAACATGAAATTAATGACATTTCAAATTAGTTTTGTGTTTGAATTTTTAAGTTTCTATGTTGGACTTGTAATGATTGGTTTAAAAAAAGAGGTACAACCATGTCAAACTAGCAAAGCAAGCTACATGATTTTCTATTACCAAACCATCATCCTTGAAAACATACATAGAAATAACATTATATGAAACAAGCAGGATATATTTAAGAACACATATACACATATAGTATTGTTATATAGTTACCGCATGTATAAATATAAAAAAGTAAATATATACATATATATCCATCATAAACTTATATGTATATGCATACAGGCATGTAATAACAATTACTGAAAACTAGACCATAAATTTCAAGGAGAGTAGAGAGGATTATATGGGAGGGTTTGGAGGGAGATCAGGAAAGGGATAAATGTAATTATATTATAGTCTAAAATATGAGTCAATTAAACTCACTTTCTCTTTCTATTCTGAATTCTGTCCTCTATATTTTGGTTGATAATTACTAAGAGCATTTGTAGGTATAAAAATTACCAAGAAATATCATGAAACAAAGTCATATTCCAATGGAGAATTGATGTTAAAATACTTTTCAGTATGTGAATGTGAATCAGAAATTTCATTAAAAAATTAATACAATATACTGTGTTGCTTGCAGTAGTCACTGACTACAACTGAATTTCAAACTTTCCATTTTGAATAGATATTCACCTTTATTTCTTCAGATGTATGTATAATTTCTTTGTTTATTTCTTTCATGTAATATATTTTTATCACATTCTTTCTTCATAACCAACTCTTCCCTGATTCCTCCCTCCCACTTTCATAATCACTAAGGTTTGTGTTCTTTCTTTTCTCTAAAACAACAGCAAAAGATAAAAAGGAAATAAATGAAAGTAATGAACAACTGTTAATTTAAACTGGAGTGAGCAGATGCTACACCTGATCTTAGCCAAAAGGCTGAGAAGTGATTAACAAATTCTAATTTAAGAAGATAATAGTAGAGGCTTCAAAACACACAAAGTTGGACATTTTCTTCCTAATACACATGGCTTATATTGTTATACATGGATAATTAATATTAAATTGTATATACTATATTAGTATATAACACTGTTAAGACAGACATTGTGATGAGTCACTTTAACATTTTTAAGCATTTGTTAAGCCTCATAATAATAACTAATTATTTATAGAATTTTGCAATGGAGCATTTAGAATATTCATAATATTTCAGTAATAAGTGCTATTAACATGGAAAATCAGTAAAACATATCAGCTCTAATTAGTGACAAGAAAACTAATACATTTAATGTACCTTCTTTCATATTCAGAATTGCCACAATGAGATACGGACACAGGCAACATGCAATTTTCAATGAAAGAAGAAACTGCGTATTGAAATTCTTATATAAAATACACAATAGAATGGTATAAATGTATTGTCTAGGCATCAGGTCGAAAAGTCATAAAGTCCATCTCAAGACCTCAAGTTACAATTTGGAACAGTAACAGTGCATTGTAAACTATGGCATTTAGCAGCAATCATAGGTATCAACTTCATCAGTGTGGGGTTTTCTTTTCCAATAATGCGTCCTGGGGAAGAGGGTGACTATGTATTGCTAGGACACCTCTGTGCCCACTTCCTAGGTGAAGTTGTCTGCTGCTTCACCATAGAGTCCTACACTTATTTAAATAAATTACTTCATTCACAATAACAACAGAACCATACCTCTAATTTTTAGACACAGAGCCTGCTATATTATTATGGTATGAGATATGTTAGACTGAATAAAATAATTCAGAATTGTAACAGCAGTTATGATTTATGTGCTTAACTTGTTTCAAAAATTCCTCTAGTTAATTTCTTAGTCTGTTTCCATTTTTCAGTGGCTCTTATTGTATTTTTCTGAAGATGTTTAGATTTTGTTACTGTTATATTCTTTCTCAACAATGAGAATCTTTGGCTTCTTTTGAATATCTTATGATATACAAGCAAAATAGCCTCACATAAGATTGACCCTGGAACTCACAAAACTCAAAAGCTATGAAGAGGAGGCAGTAAGTTTTCAACCATATGCATGTAGTAACAATGTAGGAATTATTGAGTGCTCACAGTTTTCTCAAATGCTTCATAAATCTTTAAAATCACTTTTTATTTATTTGCTAAATGTTTACAATGTCTGGTATTAGAAAAAATTCAGGTGTTAAACAGTTTTGTGAAACATTAAAACAAATGAAGAAAGCCTATGATTGTGCAGGTGACATCCAAAAATAAAATGAATTTTACTTTTTGAGATTGAAATAAAATACCTTAAGATCTCCACTTTAAAGTAGTAGTTTATATATTCACACTGAAATTAAATGTTATTTATAAAAACTGCATAAACATGCTAATTATATTTTTCATTTATTTGAAAATCAAATGAAACTGGGGGGTCTTATATTTTCGCTTGGAAATCTGATTTTAATAATTTTAACTGTTGAGATCAATGATGTTTTTATTTGGTTAAAAATCCTCTTTTCCATTTGCAATATCTAAATACCATATTCACCTCTCAAAGAGTGTGCAGTAGCTATTCAATTCATAGAATTATATTTCTACCTAAAATAAATACTCATGTAGGTGATAACAATTATCCAAGCAGATATTTACCTTCTGTAATATACCCTTACAGACAATGAAAGAATACGTAGGATCTGAGTCAATGAAGATTACGAGGATCAGGTTACCATATGACCTGTGACCATTCCTAGTCACCACTCACAAAGATTCTAATTTCCTTCTCTGAAATTATTCTTCCTTTTTCTCCAGAGAGGGAAAATTTATGTGTTTACTCATTATTTGTGATGTTCCCAGAGGTGATAGCATATAATTTGTTCTGTTTATTGTGCCTAAACTATCTGAGAGTTTTTAAAAAAAAATTGCATTGATGTCATCCAACATTTTCCCCAGTGAGAAAACATAAAGTCAACTCTTGAAAGGATTCAAAGTAACAAACTAATGTTATGAGTTCCATGGAGACCCAAAGGGTTTATGGGCCCTGATTGAATAGGCTATAGTGTCTAGTATTGATGCATTAATGGAAAACACTCTAGTACTAGTTGATCTGTTTAAAATGGAGAAGTATCATGTTGATCAAGGCTTTTGAAGTGGGGTTGTTATCACATGGAAGATTCTGAATATGTTTTTCCTAATAAAATGTGAAGATAGAAAGTTTTCAGTGTTTTTGGAAGGGGGCAAGAGAAGAGGATGCTATCATAGCAGGGTTGAAACACATTACGCATATGCTTTGTCCTCTGCTTCTTTTTACTTGTAGACATTTCCTTCTTATGAGTAACAGTCCCAAAAATGATAGTTAAAGGAAAACCAGCTCCTCTCTGTTTGAGTAGCATTGCCTTGTGTTTCCAGGGGCTCACCAACTCAGTACTACTGCTGTCAATGTTGGCCTATTGTTGGGAGACTAACTCCTAATTCCCAATGGATATGATGACCTGGGATGGATGTGTGAAGTCGGCTCAATGACAAAACTCTGACCACATGTTTCAAGCAAGTGGATCAGGATAGCCTGAGCTGTATTTATTTATATAGTTACAATAGTTTACATGAACTGTTTTATAATCAAATTTGTTTCCTTACATTTCTAATAATGGTTTAAATAATTGCCAGTTCGTTCCCTTATCTCATTCTCCTCCTTTACTCCAACTTTCCCACCAGTAACCATTAACTACATGATTCATAGTTTTAATATTAAAAGTATCAGCAGTATGGAAAGCAACAAAGGACGTTTTCTAACAGGTAGAGTGTGCCCAGTTGGCAGCATTTGCAGTTAACACTGTTATGCAATGTGAAAGAGATTTTTTCCTCTAGTGTTTACTATTTACCTGGGGTCAAGTCTAAGTTCTTATAATTAAACCATCAGCCAAGACTATATCAATTCATCCTTTATTCTGTACTACAATATCTCCTGGGTATATACCAGGTTTTCTCCAATCATCCTGTGAACTTCATAACTTAAAAGCTTAGTCTTAGTTGTTGGCATTGCTTATCTCTTGTTCTCATGTCTGCTTCCTCTAAGATTTTTACATTATGGGCTCATACAGTATTGGCACAGCTGTAGAAATGAAGGCATTGTTGACTTCTATGATTCTGCTTCATTCCTTGTTCTTAGATTGTTCCTATTAACTTGATATTAGCATTACTAGTAGCATTTCTCCTAGACTCTGGTGGTTAAAATAATTTTCTCCAAAACAGTTATAGAGATTTATACCATCATGAACTACTGTGACCCTTTTCAGACTAGTCACTGAATGTGATGGAAAGGCAACACCGAGTTCTTGAGAATCCTGAATTCATGGTCACACTTGAAAC